TGATGTCCTCCTCTACAGACTAACCTCTTTTGACAATGTGTCCAAATTGAGCAAGTTGGACAATAGTCTGCTGTGATTTATAAGGTTTCATTAGCTTCTGAAGGTACTTTCAGAAGTAGATCACCAAGCCTTTCTTAAACAAGAAGCTCCACTGAAACCTGATCACAATGGATGCCCCTACTGGACTGAAATACCAGTGCCAAGCTTCCAGCACCACAGCTGTCATACCAGTCACCACATAACAAGGAACTGGTAGGCATGTGGAGAAGGAGGTAAGAAATACAATGACACCATTAATCGAATGCCTCCCCGCTTCCATCTTTCTATTGAAGACCGTCTACATCTATTTGTGAACGTCCTACCAAACACCTTGTACCTTAGAAAAAGAGTGAGGAGAGATGCTGTGGCTAAAATGAGACTAATGTCAGCTTTAACTTACAGAGGAAAACATCACTTGTTAGCCTGTTCACCCTACCCTTCCACCTGTTTTCTGGACTGATCAGCTGAAACCAGATTACCTAAAGTGCTAAGGGGTAAAGTGAAGGCCTCAGAAACTTCTTTTTGCTTCTTGCCTGTGAGTCTTAAAGCAAAAAGCCTTTGCTTATGACCGAGGCAGGATAATCTCAGTGTTATAAAGACACCCAAGGATGCTCTTCTTGGAGAGGTGCACTAGGATGTCAAATATGCTCACCCCAACTTCAGTGTGGTCTTAAATTCTGTAAATGGGGGGAGGCTGTCAGAAAACAATCTATATGAAAACTGGAAAGCCAATTACTAGTTCTGGACCAGAAAAACTGTGTATAGTCTCAACAAAATAAAAGTCATGTGATCACACTCAACAGGGTTTTCTATGAGAAGTATTTCAAATCCCTGTAATGTTTAGATTGAATAAATAGGGTGAAAGAATGCAACTCAGGTGCACACCTTTCCTGATTTTAAACTATTCAGTGTGCCCTTGTTCTGTTAAAATGACTGTATTTTGGTCTATGTACAAGTTCCTCATGACCACAATTTAGTGTTCTAGAATACTTAATGTCTGCAATACTGTCTATAAATTGTCATGATCCATAGAGTGGAAAGACATTGCATAGTCGATAAAGCACAGGTAAACATCTTTCTGGCATTCTCTGCTTTCAGCAATGATATCACTAGAATCCAGTTTCTGGCAGTTCCCTGTCGATGTACTGTTGCAACTATTTTTAATTGTCTTCAGCAAAATACTACTTGCATGTGATATTAATGATATTATTCAATGGTTTCTGCATTCCATTGGGTCACTTCTCCTTAGAATAGGCACAAATATGGACCTCTTCCAGTTAGTTGGCAAGGTAGCTGTCTTCCAAATTTCTTGACATATATGAGCAAACACCGCCAGTGCTGCATCAGTTTGCTGAAATATTGACATTTGTACTCCATCAGTTCTTGGAGCTGTGTTTTCAACAGTATCTTCAGCGCAGCTTGGATTTATTCTTTATGTATGATTATTCGTGATCATTTACTACCTTTTGAAATGGCTGAACATCATCAACCATTTATTTGAGGTACAATGGCTCTGTGTATTCCTTCCATTTTCTTTGAATGTTTTCTGCATCATTCAATATTTTCCCCACTGTTGTTGTCAAGTGCCACTGAGTCGGTTCTGACTCTTAGCAACCCTGTATAGTATTCCCAAGAGGTGACTGATGGATATGAACCTCTGACCTTGTGGTTAGCAGTTCAGTGCTTATCCTACTGTGCCACACCAGGAACTAATTTTCCCCATTGTTGTTGTTGTTAAGTGCCTGCAAGTAGGTTCCAACCCATAGAAACCCTGTATAGGGTTGCCAAGGAGTGGCTGGTGAACTTGAACCACCAACCTTGCAGTTCCAACAGACCTTGCAGTCCAGCACATTAACTCACAGCACTACATAGAATCCTTCAATATGACAAGTTGAAGATTGATTTTTTTTTCTTCTTCAGTTCTTTCAGTTTGAGAAATGTTGAGCATTTTCTTCAATTTTGGTCTCCTAACTCCAGGTCTTTGCACATTTCATTATATTTTATTTTTTCTTCTCGAGCTGACCTTTTAGTTATTTGACTTACTCATTTCTTCCATTCCCTTTAGTTTCTTTATTAAGCTCAGTAACAAGTTTCAGAGTCTCTTCTACATCCATTTTGATCTTTTCTTTCTTTCCTGTTTTAATGACTTTATCTTTCTTCCTGTATGATAGTTCTTGATGTCATCCCACAAGTCTTCTGGTCTTCAGTTGTTAGTGTTTAATGCATTAAATCTGTTCTTGATACGGTCTCTAATTCACGTGGGATATATGTGTAAGGTCATATTTTGGTTCTCATGGACTTATTTTAATCTTCCTCAGCTTCAGCCTGAACTTGCATATGAGCAATTGACAGTCTATTTCATAGTCTACCCTAGCTTTGTTTTGGCTAATGATACTGAGATTTTCTACTGTCTCTTCCCACAGATGTAGTCAATTTGATTCCTGTGTATTCCACCTAGTGAGGTCCATGTGTAGATTCACTTTTTGTGTGGTTTAAAAAAATTATTTGCAATGAATAAGTCGTTGATCTTGTGAAATTCTGTCATTGGATCTCCAGCATCATTTTTATCACCAAGGCCTGATCCTTCCTTTTTGTTTCCAGTATTCACTTTCCAATCACCAGTAAATATCAATGTATCTTTGTTGCATATTTGATCAATTTCAGGCTGAAGAAGTTGATAGACTTCTTCAGTTTCATCATTACTGGCTGTGCACCAGAGTTGTATCCTTTCACCATACTTATTCAATCTGTCTGCTGAACAAATAATTCCAGAGGGTGAATGATATGCATAGCATGGCATAAGGATTGGAGGAAGACTGTGATGTGCAGATGATACAACTATGCTTGCTGGAAGAGAAGAGGATTTAAAGTACTTCCTGATGAAGATCAAAGACTACAGTATGGTTTGCACCTCAGTCTAAAGAAAACAAAAAACCCTCACAATTGGACACATATATAAAAGGAGAAAAGACTGAAGTTGTCAAAGACTTCATTTTGCTTTGCTCCTATCAATATTCATGGAAGGAGCAATCGAGAAATCAAACAACATATTGCATTAAACAAATGTACTGCAAAAGATCTCTTTGAAGTGTTGAAGAGCAAAAATGTCAGTTGGGGGACTAAGGTACACCTGACCCAAGCCATGGTATTTTCAATTACTTCATGTGCATGTGGAAATTGGACAATGAATAAGGCAGACCTTCAAAGAATCAATGCAATCAATTTGAATGATGGTGTTGGAGCAGAATATTGAAAGTACCATGGACTGCTAGAATAACACATAAGTCTGTCTTGGAAGAAGAACAGCCTGAAGCCAGCATAGTGAGACTGTATCTCTCATACTACAGACATGTTATGAGGAGGGACCAGTCCCTAAAGAAAAACATCATGCTTGGTAAAGTGGTGAGTCAGTAAAAAAGGGATGTCCCCAACGAGATGGATTGACATAGTGGCAGCAGCAATGAGCTCAAACATAACAATTATGAGGACTGCTCAGGACCAATCAGTGTTTCCTTCTGTTGTGCACTGGGTCACTATGAGTTGGAACTGACTCGATGGCATCTAACAAACAACTAAATAACATTCAGGAACTTTTATGCTATTTATATAAGTTATTTCATTTAATCCTTACATGAACTCTAGAATAGATCATTATCTCGATTTTTTAAATGAGAAAATTAAGTATTAAAGGGGTGTCGTAGTTTATCCAAGGCCATAGCTGGGACTCTTAACTTAGATCTATCTATTTCTAATACCATCACACTTGGAATTAACCCAGGAGTCAGGTTAAATTTTTTTGTTTTTATCTATTCTTTTAAGCAGTATGCAGGTAGCCCAATGACTGACAGAGAGGACATGTAGCTATTCTTGTCAAGTGCAGTTCCAGTTTATAATGACTCTGTATAGGGTTTCCAAGAGTGGCTGGTGGGTTTGAACTACCAATCTTGCATTAATCAGTCCATTGCTTATCCTTCAACACCATACCAGGACTCCAAGGTGAAGACACAGCTTATCTTTATATCCTATGTAATAGCCAATCAGATTATCTTCATTATAAAGCACATAGTAGTTGCTCTTTATGGGACATTGGTGGTTTAATGGTGCAATATTTGCCTTCCATGCAGAAGACCCAGATTCAATTCCCATCAATGAACCTTATGTGCAGCCACCATGCATCTGTCAATGGAGGCTTGTGTGTTGCTATGGTAATGAAAAGGTTTTAGTAAAACTAAGATGGATTCAGAATAAAGGCCTGAATCCAGCCAATGAAAGTCCTATGGATTCATTCAGCCAATGAAAGTCCTATGGATCATGATATTTTGATCCTCAACTGACTACAGGGATACCAGAGGGCCTGTCAGCATTTGTTCTATTGTTGACAAGTTGGGGCAGACTCAACAGCAACTAACAACAACAGTTGTCCTATTCACATTAGCTGATGTTATTCACAAGTCACACCGGAAAAATTACCATGGTGCATGACCACCAAATGAGAGTTTTGCCAATAACTGCTAATGATCTCTCAATTGTCAATCATATGAGGAAAGTATGACATTTATAAGAGAGTCCTCAACCCAGAAAATAAGTTCCATGTTAGTTTAGACTCTCCTTAGTTTGCTCTCCTTGTGTTAGTACTTTGGAAGTCAGCATAGCAAATCTAAAGTACTTATGTTCACCAAAGAATCAAGGCACCCTAGTCATTTGTAAGGAAGGATTCTTCAAAATTAGTAGTATGATCTCTAATTGTTTGACAAATAAAAAAAAAAAAAAACTTTGGTGAGTAGATCTGTCTCCAACCTCAAAACCTTCCTTAGATAATAACAGAGTCCAATTACATAATTCATTTAACAGCCGATAATCCAATACCGGATGCTGTCTTGAAAAGTTACCAGCACCTAGAATATAAAAGCAGAATGAATGGCATGCTATAAAGGCATGTAGTTTTGAAAACATTAACTTACAATTGTTGATGTTCTCTTTTGAGTTTTTCCTGAAGTCTCATTTTCTCCTCTAGTTTCTTGCTCTGAAACATAAAGATCAAAATGCAATATATTAGGGAAGCTTTAAGAAGAATCATGATGGTAAAGTTCCCCAAGATCTAAATTCCATGGTTCTGTGTAGATTCCACAGTCTAATACGGATTCCTACAAAGAATTCCAAGGTAATATTCCTCTTAGAGCCCATGAGAACTACAAAGGAATCCAGGAAACCCAAGTATTTTCCATATCTCCCTTCATTCAACTTGATGGTATAATCAAAGTATCAGTATTTCATATTTTTATTCTTCAATTCAAATAGGAGCAGAATTTACAATTTAAGCAGTGTTTTTAAAAAAATGTTCAAATGAAAACATGAGACTTTTATAACAAGTATGTTAAATTAAAATGATAATATGTGGTTAAATAGCTCATTTAAAAAGTTACATCCACCTCACTCCCTACCAAAGCATTCAGCCAAAGCTTTACAATAAACCAATCCTACCACTCATTTAGCCTGTATGCTGAGCAAATCATCTGAGATGCTGGGTTCTATGAAGAAGAACGCGGCATCAGGATTGGAGGAAGACTCATTAACAACCTGTGATATGCAAATGATACAACCTTGCTTGCTGAAAGTGAAGAGGATTTAAAATATTTACTGATAAACATCAAAGAGCACAGCCATAGGTATGGATTGCATCTCAATGTTAAGAAAACAAAAATCCTCACCACCTGACCAATAAACAACATTCTTATCAACGGAGAAAAGATTGAAGTTGTCAAGGACTTCATTCTTCTTGGATCAACTATCAACACTCATGGAAGCAGCAGTCAAGAAATCAGACAACGTATTGCATTAGGCAAAAGACCTTTTTAAAGTGTTGAAGAGCAAAGATATCAGCTTGAAGACTAAGGTGCACCTGACCCAAACCATAGTATTTTCAATAACCTCATATGCATGCGAAAGCTGGACAGTGAATAAGGAAGATCATAGAAGAATTGATGCTTTTGCGTTATGGTGTTGGAGGAGAATATTGAAAGTGCCATGGACTGCCAAAAGAACCAATAAATCTGTGGTGGGAAAAGTGCAGCCAGAGTGCTCCTTGGAGGCCAGGATGACCAAACTTCATCTCTCATACTTCAGACATATTGTCAGGAGGGACCAGTCGCTGTAGAAGAATATCATGTTTGGTAAGGTGGAGGGTCAGAGAAAAAGAGGAAGACCCCCAGGGAAATGGAATGGCAAAGTGGCAACATCAATGGGCTCAAGCGTGGCAACAATAGTGAGGTTGGCCCAGGATCGGGCAGTGTTTTGTTCTGCTGTGCATAAGGTTGCTATGAGTCAGTACCAACTCTATGGCACCTAACAACAACAATAACATCTCTCTTCTGACATAGATTCAGATACTTAAACCTATTGAGAAGGCAACAGTGAATAGCATTAAAAAAAAAAAATTTTTTTTTAAGGTATTTGCTCAAATAGAAAAGAGTTCATTTCTAAAAAGATTACTTATTAGGAGAGCCTAGAGACAAAGGATGTCATATTTGATATTATCACCAGAGCTCTTACATATTTAATCCACTTAAAGAACTCAGGAATGCTTAGTTTGTGCCCACTGTGCCACAGTGTTCCTTTTTGTTAACTTATCTATGAAAAACAAGCCAAATTCCTAGACAACAATTTAATGGAGAGTTGAAATATATTCTATATCACAGGAGAAATATGAAGTTTTAAATGAATCCCAAGAATGGAGACAGATGGGAATGCTTTAACCAACACCACTGATCTATCTGGCAGGAAACCTATGAAACGGGAATAATGGAAGTTACCACTTTCAAATGCTGCGTAAGTTTGGGTCCATATTTCAAAGGGGCCAAGGGGAAGGATTGTTCATATTGCTCGTTTCCATCAAAGTCTTCATTTGTAGAACGATTTACTAGTTCTCACTGTGAAAGGCAACATAAGCTATGATTTCAGTTTCAAAGAAAAAAGTTAGCACAGGAAATTAGTATAATCAAAGGGAATCAATTATAATGCAACACAACTGGATTATTAATCAAACAGAATTCTAGGGGAAAAGCTAATAGAGGATTGTGAAAGAGAATAAACATAATTCCAATATAGTAAAAAGCCTGACCCATGAAACAAAAAGTGACTAAGTGTGATAAGCTTCCCACATTCCACACTCCCCCAAGCCCTGATTAAAAAAAGAAGAATCAAACGATAACAAGAAAGTAGTAAGGTGTTGGTTAAACCAGAATTAGGAATACTACTTCCTGAAGAGTGACAAAATATACAAGCATCAATAGAAAAAGGCTGGGTTTCTTTAGCAAGGTAATATATTAACTTAGAATTTAAATGGTTTAATCTTTTCACTAATAGATTATCACAGTATACAACTCACAAACAAAGTATCTTAATAACATACAACACAGTAGCTAAATTACATCCTAAAAATGTCTGTTTACTCTT